ACACACACTAAACTCTCACACACTCACACTAAACACTCTCTCACACACACACACACACACACTCGCACTCGCACACTTGCACTCGCACTCACACACTCTCACACTCACACACACACACACTAAACACTCACACACACACACTAAACTCTCACACACTCACACTAAACACTCTCTCACACACACACACACACACACTCGCACTCGCACACTTGCACTCGCACTCACACACTCTCACACTCACACACACACACACTAAACACTCACACACACACACTAAACTCTCACACACTCACACTAAACACTCTCTCACACACACACACACACACACTCGCACTCGCACACTTGCACTCGCACTCACACACTCTCACACTCACACACACACACACTAAACACTCAGAATCAAGGACCGGAACTCTCCGTTTTATAATTATTAATGTGTTTATACAATTCTGCATGTTCAATTGACATTTTGGTCTAAAATGTGAATTTTTGTGGCCTTGTAATGCAATATCTGCTCCGATATCCCCCACAATGCCCTGTGTGTGTGTGTTTAGTGACGGATCTGGAGGTGCAGTTCTATTACCGCGGTAAGGAGGTGTGTCCGCCGGTGATCGTCAGTAACCCGCAGGGCTGCCGTCTGTTCTACGGCGATCTGGGGCCCATCGTCAACCAGGAGGAGCTGTTCGGGCCGGTCAGTCTGGAGCAGGTGCGCTTCCCCTCCACCGAACACATCACTAACGACAAGCAGCGAGTGTTCACCAGCCGCCTGCTGGACGTGATGGACCGCGGACTCATCCTGGAGGTGAGCGGACACGACATCTATGCCGTGCGCCTCTGCCAGTGTAAGGTGTACTGGTCCGGCCCCTGCGCGCCCAACCCCAACATGCCCAACCTGATCGAGCGCCAGCACAAGGTCAAGCTCTTCTGCCTCGAGTCCTTCCTCAGCGGTGAGTGAGCGCAGTCACATGACACCAGAGGAGTAATACAGGCAGTGCTTGAAGATGAGCGTGATATCGTGTCTGCCTTTATACAGAATAAAGGCTTGTGGGTTTAATCAGACTGCATTGTATTATAATTACAAATAATTAAGTATAGAAATATTCATTTTCACTGTTTTAAAGTAAATCAGATGGGCCTATTTTATTTTATTATACTATATATGATTCGAAGTGAAATAACATTTTTATGACTATATTATGTTATATCTTATTTTATATTATACTTAATTCTTTGAATATTAATTTTTACAGCATTAAAGTAAATTGTATAATCCCAATTATTATTATTATTATTATTATCATTTACAATTCCAATAAAAAAATGGATCTGTTGATCAAAAGTGATCAAAACAATTAAATTGTTAATCATAATTATTTGGATGACAATTAATTATCAGCACAAAATTTATGATGGTGACAGCCCATACAGTATTATATATTATATTATATTATATTATATTACAGATAATTCTATAAATATTATACATTTTCACAGCATTAAAGTAGATCATATGGGCCAGATCATATATATATATATATACAGTGGGTACGGAAAGTATTCAGACCCCCTTCAATTTTTCACTCTTTGTTATATTGCAGCCATTTGCTAAAATCATTTAAGTTAATTTTTTTTCCTCATTAATGTACACACAGCACCCCATATTGACAGAAAAACACAGAATTTATATTTATATTTATATATGCTATAAAACAGAACAAAACAGAAATGAATCATCAGCACAAAATTCAGGGTCATGACAAGCTAATGTAATATCATATTATATTATTATATTATAATTATTTCTATAGATCTTTATTAATTTTCACAGCATTGAAGTTAATCATATGGGCCTGTTTTTATTATATATAATTCCAAGTAAAAAAAAAAGTGACATGAACAATACAGAATAAGATCATTATTTGTAATTATTTCTGTGACAATTAATCATCAGCATTCATGCTTGTGAGATGCTATTGAATTATACTATAAATAATGATATAAATATTATTAAATTTTATTTGTATGTTTTATTAATTTTTATTTTATTATATTGTATGTAGGGCTGGGCGATATGGCCAAAAACTTGTAGAAACCAGACCATTAATTTACCTTAACAAAATACATATCTAAATGGAAAAATGTATTTCTTAGTTTCTGCTAAGTGTTCTAATGAGTGATATTGTTTCAAATCAAGAAACAGGTTTGGGTTGCCTGAAAATATTAATAATAATAATATACTTTTTTTGTCTCTTAGAAATGCACATTTGATAGTAGCTTGAGTTACTGCAGAGATAAATATTTGTTCATTATCAGTAACATCTGTAAAAATTATAGCAACCTCAGTTTTATATGGTTACATTTATTCGGACCGTTTTTTTTTTTTTATTAAGCATTGGTCTATGTTCCAATGAGTAATATTGTTTCAAATCAAGAAACAGGTTTGTGTTGCCTGATAATATTAATTATAATATTAAAATTTTTTTGTCCCTTAGAAATGCACATTTGATAGTAGCTTGCGTTAGGATGCAGATGCAAATTTATGTTTATTATCAAAATCAGTATCATCTGCAACAATTGCAGCAACCACATTTTTTATTGCCTAATTAATTATTCTGTTTGAGTTTTTTTTTTTATTAACCATTGGTCTTCCATTGTAGCATACATTTTGATCATGATAATCACAGTTAAAACCACATGTATAGCACCTCAATACCATGGTAAAAATATAACTATATGGTTTTTAAGTAGCCTATTTGAATGAAAAACAGTAGTCTAAAAACATTCAGCATAAATGCACACATGATATAGCTTAATCACAAATATGAAATCTGATCTGTGATGCGACTGTCGTTCGGCACTCTGCATTGAGCAGCCGCGTTCAGTTTTTAATTGTAGTGTCTGTTCTTTTACTGAACTAAATTATTTTTATTTCTATAAAAAATCAAAACGACGCGGTGGGCAAGTGACGTAACCAGTGTTGCGGCTTAACACCGGTATCACCGTCAGCACCGTCTATCGCGGCAAGCCTAGTCACACGTGAGCGGTTAATCATGTGCGCCGACATGCAGTTGGATCGTTCTTTTCTCTTTACTGTTATCACCGGCATATTGTCAGAGTGTCTAATTCTAACATTTGGTAATATTTCTATTCAAAATCGCGATTCCTCGATTTCTAAAAAATAAAATCGTGGCAAAACAATAAATTCGAATTAATCTATAAAATCGGGAAAATCGTCCAGCCCTATTTGGCATTAAACTAGTTTAACTCATCGAGTCATTTGTGTTCATCGCTGAATTCAAGCGCTTCACACTGGATCTCACAGCGCTGCTTAGAGCTCGCGCAGCGTGGATAAACGGTCTGTGTGGCGCGATTCAAATGAGTTGCTCTGTTTCGTTCCGCTTTTGGTGCATAAACGTTATATCGAACATTTATCGAACTCTTCTTATCGTTTTATCGAGTAAAATTATATCGCGGTAATTATCGCTATAGAATTATCGCCCAGCCCTAACTGTATGCGATTCCAAGTAAAATTAAAAAAACAAACAAAACAACAAAAAAATGTGTTATTAATAGTGTTGTGTGTGTGCAGGTGTGATCGCTCATCAGCGTGGTATGCTGTCGTCTGAGTCTCCGCTCTACGATATTCATCTGTGTTTCGGTGAGGAGTGGCCCGACGGCAGACCCCGCGAACGCAAACTCATCACGGTGCAGGTCAGACCCCACGCCACTGCACTTATTCAGACAAATAGAGCAAATATAATCAAAGAGACAAATACATACATGGAGGACTTTCTGATAAAGGACTTTCTGTTATTAGGGAATGAATTATGAACTTACGAATAAATAAATAACATGCAAATATGGAGGATGTTGTATAAGGAATGAATTATAAACTCAAAAATAAACAAAAAAATATCAATTAATAAATAAAAAAAACACATGAGGAATTTGCATTAAATATATTTGGGAATAAATTGTGAACCTTAAAATATAAATGAATAAATAAATACATACATAAATAAATAAATAAAATTATTATTAAATACAAATAAATATAAATGAGTAAATGGCACGTGAGGAGGACTTTGTATTAAATACATGTGGGATTAAATTATGAACGTAAACATAACAAATAAATAAAAATACATGTGAATAAATTAATGAATAAAAGATATGGATGATTTTGTATTAAATATTTTGGGAATTATGAACTTATAAATAAATGAATTTTTTTGTAATGATATAATATAAATTAAATATAAATAACAATAAAGATAAATCAAAGAAGGGTTTTTCATTAAACCCCAAGTTTAACAAATATTCACAATAATTAGAGGTTTTTAACCAATATTAACTAGAAATTATGCAGATATAATGTACTTAATTTTTAAATGTATTAAACTATTTTTAGCACTTTTTAATTTATTATATATTATTACTCTTTATTTTTATACTTACAATTTAAAAAATGTAAAATTGTTAAAACCGTTTCAAATTAAAATTTGATGAACCTATAAGTCGCTTTGTACTTGCCAATCGAGTAAATTGATTGATCATGTCGAAGCAACAAATTAACATCACCTAAAATACAAATACGATGTTTTCATAGTAAATAGTAAATAATAAATTGATATTGGTTGTTTTTACCAAATTAAATAGTCCCACTTTAATGCTGCTTTCCACCAAATATATGCTCTATGTATTTTAATAATATTTATGACTATTATTTTGAATGTATGTATTAATCTATTATTGATCAGAATTATAACCAATGAAATATAATTAATCATGTAGAAGCATGTGCAAATATGTTGTTCATATAAAATAAACTGATATTGGTTGTTTTTACCAAATTAAAAATAGCTCATCTTTGCTGTGCTGCATAAATTATGCAGATGTTAACTGATGGGCCAATCAGAAGTGTCTGTGGGCGTGGCTTGTTCACTCAGTGTGTGTGTGTATCTGTCTTTGTGTGTGTGTGTGTGTGTGTGTGTGTGTGT